AGCAGTGCTGCTCGGTGGAGCTGGCAGGCAGCAGGTCGTAGCGGCTGCTGTACATCACCACCCCAGGGGGGTAGTAGGCCATCTCCGGCTCGATGGCTGCTGCAGCAGGGCAAGAAGCAGTGACCGGCTGGACGGGCATCAAGGCGTGCAGGGCCTGCTCCTCCTGCTCGGGCTTGGTGGTGTCAGTGAAAGGGCGCATGGCGGTGAGGGAGGGTGAGGTGATCCTCCAGAGGAGGCTCTTCAGCGCCTTGCGAAACTCCCTGCGCATGAGGCAGTAGAGGATGGGATTGAGGCAGCTGTTGGAGTGTGCCAGACACACACTGATGGGGAAGAGGTACACTTGGGAGAGGAAGTACTCAGTACTGAAGTGCACCACGTTGAGTTTGATGAGGATGCCCCATGTTGTGAGTGCTTGGTTAGGCAGCCAGCACAAGAAGAAAGACAGTACCACGATGGACACTGACTTGGTCACCTTGGAGCGGCGCTTGGTGCTGGGGCCGCTGCAGGTGCTGCCAACGTGCTTGTCACTGATGAAGCGCACCAGGAGCAAGTAGCAGAGGCTGATAATGACCAGCGGCACCACAAAGCCCAGCAGCACCTTCTGGATGTGGTACAGACCCAGCCAGAACTGGGCGTTGCTGCCTCTGCCCTCAGGGAACTTGACGAGGCAGAGTACATCATCAAAGACAGTGGCAGTGGTGGAAAAAATGGCATGGGGCAGAGAAGCCAGGATAGCTGACAGCCAGATCAGTGCACAAAGCCACTTAGCGGAGCAGCAGCCACCCACTGGGTCACCTCGTCGCTGATTCTTCAAGGCTGAAGCCACAGAGCGGTATCGAGCAACACTCATGGCAGTGAGAAAGAAGACACTGGCATACATATTCATGGCTGTCACATACGAGACAATCTTACACATCGCTTTGCCGAAGAGCCAGTTGAAGTCCAGTGCGTTCTCCACTGCCCAGAACGGCAAGGTCAGCACAAACTGGAAGTCAGTCACTGCCAGGCTGGTCACGAAGAGGTTGATGGAGGACTTCCTCCAGCCTTGTTTGCTTTTCATCAGGTAGAGCACCAGCAGGTTGCCCACCAGCCCCAGGGCACACACCACGGAGTACACGAGGGAGATGACAATCCTCACCACGTCGGAGCTGTCCCCCTGCGTCCCGTCGGCTCTCTCCAGGTTGATGTTCTTGAAGAGCTGCAGGAAGGACACATTGCTCCTGTTGCCCATCTGGGCGCCCTCCAGGAAAGCCAGCGGCGCGTCCCAGGACTCCCAGTCCGCTCCCTGTTTCATGCCTGCGGCTGGCGAGCAGGCACCGCGCTCGCAGGGCTCACCCATCCCATGCTAGGAAGGGCGGTGGGTC